AGCCCTGCTTTTCCCAGCCAACACTTACCATCACCATGAAGTGTGCATTTATGTAGCAGCTCCATAAGACCTTATCATCAATCTACAAATACATTTTAGTTAATCCCTGAGACTCCTGGATTTGCAGGAAATGCTGAACCTGTTAGTTGGGACAGTGCCATGTTGTGTGGCTCATTTGCCTTAGTGTGTTGTCGCTGGTGCCTAACTGAGGTCCCCAACACCATCCACCTCACGCCACCACTCCAGGAAGTGGTGGCAGCTCCACGGGCTGAAATCACACAAGTTGTTTGTTCATCTTGATCTTTATACGCCTACAAATCCCGAGTTCCTCTGACCATACCAGGGATTACTGCAGGCACGCAATGGACTTTACCTTTGTTTGACTTCATTCCTGCAGCTCTGGCTCTTCCCAAAGCTGCCAGAAAGCTGTAGGCAGGCTTTGATTCTCCTCTCCCCACCAGCGTTGTAAACCTTAGCCACCGAGTCCATCACTAAAATGAATGGATTTGCTGGTGGACTACCCCCGTAACTAACAACACCAAGACAGCGTGGCAGGACCTGATCTCCTGCGGGGGTGCTGAACGAGCACAAATGCATGCCCAGAGCCCGGACACGTCAGCTGCAGTCCAGTATCTGCCAGCAGCCCCACGATCTCGCTCCTCGTGGGTAAAGGAAAAAGAGCTCTCTTGTATGGAAGTGGTGTTTCCTTTTTCGCCTCCCACAGCATTCAGCGCCTGTCCCCACTCTTGTCAGCCTCTGCGGTGCCTTCCAGCTTCTGCGCCAGGACAAAGGGACTTTCTGGGCGTCCGAGCTGTGGCGGGGTTGTCCTGTCCTCCGGTGCGTTCCAGGCAATAGGGAACCTGTCCTCACACTCTTCTGCAACTGCTCTGAGCCCTCCTTAGAAAGAAGCCACAGACCTAACACACTTTTAACCCAATACTAAGGGAAAGGTACTATTAAAATTGATCCAGTTAGTCATTTACTTGTGCATCCAGTTTGTCAGCATGCTTAGTGATGGTGAGCTCACTGTTGTCACCCTTGCTTTTCACGACTCGTGGTTTTCCTGTTGGCGCTATCACCATTGTTTCTGGCTATGTCCTGGACTGTTTTCCACTGCCCAGCACTGCTTAGCTGAAAACTTAAAAACAGCTCTTCAGCCATGGATCCATCACAAGCTCCGTCACACCCGTGACTGCCAATGTCTGTCATGGCTGACTACCACACCGAGTGCCGTTCTCATTCGGTGTAATGTAGCTCCATAGTTAACCTCCCATGTCTGTTGGAACGCACTAGCATCAGAAATGAAGATACCTGCTGTCTTCTGCTTGGAGAAACAGACTCAGGTGCAGTTTACATCTGGTCCACGTTTCTAGATCGTTTCTCATAGCTTTGGTGGATGTAATTTTAATTGATAACTTTTCAATTCCTGTTTACTCTGTGGTATTGACTCTGCCACAGGTTCTTGGAAGAGATCTTCACACACAGCTACAATGGCTTCAGCTTAACATGAGATTTTTGCAGTGCCTTGGCCGAGTCTCTCTCTCCCTGTCTAGGGATTGCCTTGGCTCCTCTTGGCACAGCATCACACCGAGGGCTCACGTTGCACTGCTTGGCTATTACTCCCACTACGTCCTTTCTGAGTTGCTGCTTTTCAGGGTATGGCCCGTGTCCCTTGCTCCTAGTTGTCTGACCTTGCCCTTGGGCTGCAGTAGCATGTTCTGTTTAAGGGACAGTGCTTACAGTGACTCAAACGATCTGTAGGACTGCCCTGATGCCTCTTCACCATTCTGATATTAGCTCTGCTATCTACATAGCTTTTCAGTAGCGTTTCTAAAAAACACAAATGGAAATGTTGAATAGCCTCAGGCTTAGTTCTGATCCCACTTCCGAGATGATTCCCTGTCAGCAGTTACTTGGACGTGTGTTAATATATTCTTTGGTATTGCGCAGTGCTCAAGTCCTGGTCCAGAATACTGTGCGGTGTCAGTCACAGAATCGCAGAGAAGTGGGGTGGAAGGGACCTCCGGACTGCACATCTAGGCCAGTCCCCCGCCCGAGACAGGATCAGCCCTGTCCCCTCGCATTATTTACAAAACACTAAGATGTGACATCTCTGCCGTTACCTTTATCAACAAGCACAGGAAAGCACAACAATGACATCAGATTCATGTGACAAGGCGTATTTACCATAAAACCATTTTGACTGGCAATATGATGCTGAATTTTTAATTCTTTATTAATTACCATATCTGTTTTTCCATTACTTGCCTGACCAAAAAGCTGACAACTTATAATAGAGAACTCATTGGAGTGATAAGACTCTTTGTATTGGACAGTATTTCCTTACAAAATCACAAATGCTTCAGCTCGCGATGAGTGAATTTATCCTTTTTATCCCAGATGCTCAAGGAATGTTCTCCCAGGTCCTCACGACTGAATATGAATATTCACATGTACCTTAATCATGGTCGTCTCCACATTGCTGTTCGCAGCACCCTACACTGCCAGTCTTCCCCTTGATGGCTCCAGTGTTGCCCTAAAACACAGTTTGCAGTAGCACATGGTTGACATTCAAGATTAAGGAGGAGTTGTATTTCCAG